CTGATGGAAAATTTTCTCAGCTACAACTTAGCACAATATAGTTGTTGAGCCAAACGTCAAATAAAATAGTTTGTTTAAGAGATTGATAATCTTATGGCATGATCAAGCAGCTGTTTTGTGAGCAACACTGTATCTTGCAGTGTGACATAGTAGCCTTAATTTTTGTGTTCTATTCTAAGCGCTAGAAACACCAATGTTGCCTGCTGAACAGTTGATTGAGCATAATCATGAGACATTAGTGGTTTGAATTATTGATAACTTTTGATGCTTACATTATATTGAAAAGTGGTCTTGGACAAAGTTGTAGCTGAGAAAATTTGCTACGAGCACAGTTATCATTTTTCAAAGCAGAGCGATATGGTAAATTGTTAGATGGATATGAACAAAACATTTGGTTTTCCCATAGTAATTTCTATATAAACTTCAAATGGTTTGTGCCAAGTCAGTTTCTTATCGAATGAGTTCAAATTTTGGGAGGCTAATAAGGACCCGATTTGGAACTGTTTGAGCACTGTGGAGTGAAAATGTCAAAATTTGCATCAGTCTAATGAGCATGCCTTCTGTAGTTTATTTTGTGTAAATTGCACCATAATTTGAATTAAGGGGTCCTATTGCAGCCTGTTTAACTGCCTCTTACTCTAGAGCCCTCGCTAGAATATACATTACTGTGAATTGCTGGTCTGGTTTACATACACGTCAAATAACACGTCATATGAACAACTTCAATGATAGCTGTAAAGCAGTGCTCCCATTTTATTTAATGATAAATTCAATGCCTACGAAATTGTGTCGAAGGAGTGCCGATGGATGTGCCCAAGCTGTGCCGCACACTGTGCTGAGTGACTTACCCCTTGGGTTTAACGCCATTACACGCTTTCTGAAAACAGAAGAGGGAAAGGAAAAGGAGAAGGACAAAGGGGGGTAAAGGATTATATATACTCGATGAACGTAAGCAGTATTTTTAATTTTAAATATACATCATAAAAATTCATAACGCTAGTGGTCTCTACCCGAGTCTTATTATTATTAACAAGACATAAAAAGTAACAAAAACTATAATGTGCTCCTTTGCACGCAAAAAAGATCGTTCCTATTTTCGTGAACAAAAAATCACGACAACGTGAACCAACATCGGCTCCGAATTCATGATTTGATTGACATAAACGGGATTAAATAAATCCAACTTTCGTGAAAATAATCACAATTTCATGAATTCAACTCATGAGCGCTCTGCACCACAGCCCATTTTTGTTCATGCTTTCGTGAACTTTGGATGGAAATGGATGATATAGAACTGTTATTGTTAGTGTAAAGCATCGGCAAAAATCTCAAATATGTATGAAGAAACAGCAACGGGAGATTTACTTCAACTCGTAAACAAGCCTTCGAAATACATCCTAATTGGCATCCAGGTAAGATAGTGGGGAAGTCAAGCAAAGCGAGTATTTAAAGTTTGTTTTATTTTTCACACTTTTTCCAACGCTATCACCTACGGTTGATTCAGAACCCATTAATTTTGAAAGAAACGGCCTGTACTTTACAATATGACACTGAGGGTATACAAAAAGATTCCCACACGGATCCAGGCATTAGCCAAGACGATGAATTTCTCCGAGCCTGGCGATGAACTTATCCGATAGCAAATATACGAAGCCTTATAGGAACTGAGGTTCCTGTAAAGGAATACGACAGTAAATATTCCCCTACAGTTCCCGAATATGCACCATTCACAATAATTGACAGCAATGCAATATCTGCGCTCTCAGAACAATCATAACGAGCATTATTTACGAAGAACGATTAGACTGCGCGATGCTCGAGTTGCATGAAAAGATCAAAGCAGTTCAACAATGTCGTTTTTTAGAAACCATCCAACTGTTTATATCCGTGCCGATAGCTGCTAAAGTGGATTTAATTCTGGATTTTATCCCGCAAACCATCATCCTCCTGGACTCTGACGAGCGATTTTGGCTATCCTGTGCGCCCCCATCCAACGAAAAAAAGAACTAGCTTGGTTCCCTCAATTTGAGATAAAAGATGTTCGGATGTAGCCGATTTTTGATGTCCATTGACAAGCCTTTTTGTTGCCAAAAGTCAGGTTCACCGCTGCGACTCAACAATGAGACGAATGATGAGATGAACCGTGGAACATCGAGGGTCCCATGGAGGTTCTACTTGGTTTCGTAACAGCTGGTCAGTGGCAGATAACAAGGGCGTAGACTAGCATCGTATTCACATTACAAGCAAAATGAATGAAATTTTTTGGTGTAATATTATTCTAATCCTTTATCTTTTTAGGTTCTTCGGTTCCTACAGCAGCAATCTGTCCAGTGTTTGACTGTTGGTCGAATGGTAGTGGGTAAATTCGTGATACTGGTCGCTTGTAATTTCCACTAGAAGTTCGCAGAGTCACAACGCGTACAATCCCATCGTCTCCAGGGTGAATGTTTTCGATCCGAGCAAGAGGCCAAGACACAGAAGGTTTTCTATCGTCCTGGGCCAAAACGATTTGACCAACGTAGATAGCGACTGAATTCGTTGACTTATTGCGCTGGTGGTTCAGTTCGGTAAGGTATTCCTTTCTCCAACGGTCCCAATGTTGTTGAATCAGTTTTTGTAGTTGCTGGTAGTGGTGTAGACGGTTGCTAGGAATTCCAGTATAGTCAGGTTCCGGTAGACTCAGCAACGATGTTCCGATTAGAAAATGGCCAGGTGTGAGAACCTTCAGCTCTCTAGGGTCGTTGGCAAGGAAGTCAACGGGCGGCTGTTCATGTTGGCTTCCACTTGCGTAAGCACGGTAGCAAAGTCTTCGAACGATAGTTGTGTACTGCCAAGTGTTTTTGCCAGGGACGATTTCGCTGTTTTGACCGCTGCTTCCCACAAGCCCCCGAAGGATGGTGCTCTTGGCGGAATGAAAACCCACTTGATCCGTTTCAAGCTGCATTCATTGGTAATTGCTTCTCGTGTTCGTTTGTTTTCCAGAAGACGATGTAGCTCGGTTAGAGTATTGTTTGCGCCTTGGAAATTTGTGCCATTGTCCGAGTGTATTTCAGTTGGCATGTCGCGCCGGGCGATGAATCGACGCAATGCTGCGATGAATGCTTCCGTGGACAAATCGCAGACAAGCTCGAGATGTACAGTTTTCAATGCGAAGCAAACAAAGACGGCAATGAATGCTTTTCGTGCTGCTCCTGTCACAGCAAATGTTCTAGTAGGTAAGGTGCGAGGTTTGGGTAGTTGGCCGGTAGGTTGGGTGACAGGAACAGGGTTTTGGCGAAGCAATGCAAACACTTACGATACACAGAGTTGGCGATATGTTTTCCGTTAACGTTGCGTGGACCAGAGTGCATACAGAGTTCATGGTAATGCTCAGTGATGAGGCGTGTTAGTGCGTGGTGTTTAGGAAGGATCATAGGGTGCTTGGTTTGGTAATTCTCTGAGGAGTGATGTAGGCGTCCACCGAGACGGATGATTCCTTTTTCATCGAAGAAGGAACGCAGCATTCTCAGAGATGATTTCCTGGATACAGATCGATTTCGAGCTAACTCTTTGTACTTTTTTTTTTTTTTTTCCTTGATTTGTTTTCCGTCGATCTTGTTTTCCGTGCTGAGCACCAATGCTACCGACGCCAGGAAGGCAGCTCCCACACCTGGACCCTACCTATCGATCCATCAACTCATGAACCGGGACCAACGGCTTTACTTCCCTTCCGAAGGAAGACGTGATCAGAGATGTTATGCCTCAGAACATCCCGGCGGCGCCGACTGGGATTGAACCCAGGCCTGCTGGGGTGAGAGGTAATCACGCTTACCACTACACCACCGGCGCCGCTTAACTCTTTGTACTCCTCAGTGAAAATTTCCTGCTGCGCAATCTTCGTGATGACTTCCTTAGCATGTTCCAGCTCTGTTACTGAAGCGAACCGGTGCGGATGTTTATTGGTATTTCCTCGGCAACGATTTTTGAAACGAAGAAGTAAAGCTGTAATCCGAAGTAGCCGCCAAAAAGATGAATATCGATGGAACAAGAAATGATGGTCCAACGTTTTCTGTCCTACAAGAACTGTTTTCCGGCGTTCCAGCAAATCCTCAGATGGAGTATCGTTCGGATGTTTAGGCCAGCTTTTTTCTCCTAATAACAGGGAGATCCACACCGCCAAATGATGTTGGTGACGAATTCTTTGGGAAGCATTCCTCGTGAGACGTGGTCTGCCGGATTGTCGATTCCGTTTACGTGATTCCACCTGTGGCCGTGAGTTAACAACTGGATCTTCGATGTACGATTTCCAATGTAGGTCTGCCATGTATTGGGTGGTGCTTGTATCCAGTGCAGAGTTACCGTAGAGTCGGACCAGAAACTGCTAGAAATCGCTTCCATCCGCAGCGCTGCTGACACCCGGGCATACAGCTTCGCCCCAAAAGTGCAGCACAAAGCTCTAACCGTGGAAGGCTAATCCGCTTGAGTGGTGCAACCCGTGATTTTGTCGCGATGAGTTCAACGTTAATATGCCCTTCCTTGCTAGTGGATCGTGCGTAGATGCATGCAAAATATCCAGCTTCTGAAGCATCAGTAAAGATGTGGAATTGCACTGTCGATGAAACTGGTAAGAAAAGGTATCGGGAAACCTTGTAACCGCCGAGAAGTAGTAGCTGCTCCGAAAATTCCTTCCATTTGACCATGATGTCTTCAGATACTAGATCGTCCCATCCTGCATTCACTATCCAAAGTTGCTGCATTCGAATCTTGGTCCATGCTACGACCGGAGACACCAATCCAAGTGGGTCGTAGAGGTTTGCAATCGCCGAAAAGATCATTCGTTTTGTCCAACAATCGTCGTTGATAGGTGGCTGAACTTCGATGCAAAACTGGTCTGGTCCTATCTCCCACCCCACTACGAGTGTTTTGATTTTTTGCGGTTCGTCGAAATGCAGCGTTGATTCCATTCCCAGCAAATCGGTTGGCATGTTGTGTAGTACTTCCACTCGGTTTGAGCACCATTTTCAACCTCCTCCTCCTTCTTTCATCATAGCTTGTACCTCCCTTTGTAGTTTGATGGTTTCTTCCACAGACTCGGCTCCATAGAGAAAATAGTCCATATAGAAATCTTCTTGCACAGCGCTGGCAGCAAGCTTGTATTTGTTTTCTAAGTCCTGAGCCAACTGCTTCAACACCCGCGTAGCAAGGAACGACGATGGAGCTAAACTGTAGGTGACAGTCTGCAGCTCATACACTTGAAGGTGTTCCGAAGCATTGAATCTCCATAATATCCGCTGGAGTGGAGTGTCGTCCTCATATACCCGAATCGGACGGTACATTTTTGCGACATCAGCGACTAGAGCAACAGGGTGTTCCCGAAAGCGAAGCATCAAATCTAACAGTTCATCCTGAATATTGGGCCCAGAGAGCAGAGCATCGTTGAGCGAAAAATTCGTGGATGTTTTCGCCGACCCATCGAAGACAACCCGTACCTTTGTGTTCGAGCTAGATTTCTTAAACACCGGATGATGCGGAAGATAACAGACTGTTTTGTCTTCATCCAACCGATCGTCATTGGCCATACCGATGCATTTCATGTGCCCTAGGTCCAAATACTCCTGCATAAAATCCACGTAATGCTTGCGTAGATTGCGGTCACGGTTCAGCCGTTTTTCTGTTTGAAGAAATCGCCGTAAAGCCGCTTGTTTCGATTCTCCAACCATGCTGTGAAATTCCATGCGTTTAGGATAACGTACTATGTGCCTGCCAGTACTGTCACGCTTTACAGTATTCTTGAAGTGTGCTTCACAGTCCTCTTCTTCTTGCGAACGTGGTTTTTTAGTCTCGAGCTCCTCCACTGTCCAGAATTTTTCAATAGCCTTGTCTAACGAATCCACCTTCGCTACATGGCAAGTGATGTTCTTCGCCTCATCCATAGATTTCGTTTCGCCTGTAGCTACCGATCCGAACATCGTACTGACAAATACTGGAAGCGTACAGTCGAATTTGCGAACTTGAAGCCGGCCACCTCGCGTACGAGGAAGTCGTAAAAGTACTGAGCACCCAAAACCAGATCGATCCGACCAGATACAAAAAAAATCCGGATCACCTAGTGTCATGTTAGCAGGAGTCAACGGAAGAGAAACAGAAGGCTGATCATCGGTAACATGCTCCATAACCAGAAAATCCAGAGCCATTGCGAAATCTTGCACCCGAGAAGCGATTGAAGCGGAAACTTCATAAGCTGTGTGACTACGTGATCGTCCTATACCAGAAATTTCCACTTTCCTGTCTCGCCTTGGTAACCGGAGTAGCTTACAGAGATTTTCAGACATTAGGTTAGCTTGCGATCCAGAATCTAGAAGTGCCCTTGCGAGATGAATCCTTCCCCAAATATCCTTGACATTCAGCAGAACCGTTTGCAGAAACACGTGTGATTTTGGCTGTCCCATCGCCAGATTAATTGTAATTGATTCCGCCGAACTAGTAACTAAACAACCAGAGTTCGAAGCACCACCCGATGTTGATGGAACAGGTGAATCCTCGTTGTCATTCACTGCTGGAGTAGGAGCAGAACCAGAACCAGAAAAACCAGGGTGGAGCAGTGAATGATGTTTTTTTGAGCATGTCTTGCACCGAAACTTCGAAGGACAATCTCGAGCCAAATGATTTCTTCCTAGACAGTTACTACAGAGTTGGTAAGCTGCAGCCTTTTGTCAATCGGAAGTTTAGCGAAAGTTGGACACCGAGTGATCCAGTGTTTATCGCTACATGCGAAGCAATCCGATGTAACCCTTTCGGTCGCCGAGTTGACCGAAACCTTCGATGGTCGAGATTTGAAACTATTGTTGGTCGATGAACCAATAGGAGCGCAGATATGTTGATCCACAGAAACTGCATCCAAAACACGAGTTTGCTTCTTAAGAAACAAGACCAGCGACGAAAACGATGGCTCCTTTTCAGACGTAACATTCTCCCACCCACCGCTTCTGAGTCACCTCGTCGAGCTTCGAGACCATTAAGTGAACTAGCATCGCTCCCCAACCGTTCGACTTCTCTCCTAGTTGGTCCAGAATTTTAGTGTTCCGTTCGAAACAATCGATGAGATCGTGCAATATTGCCGCTGATTCCTTCCTCATTCTTGGACTCTCAAACAACGCATTCAAATGCCGCTTCTTGAGAAGGTAGTTGTTGGACAACCGTGAGACCAAACCATCCCAAGCAACCCTATAGTTAGTTAGTTAGCCTCGCTCATCGAATAGGAATCAATTAGCTTCAAAGCATCACCCTTTAGTGAAGCGCGCAAGTAGTGGAGCTTCTGTATGTTGTTCAACTCTGTAGAGGAATCGATCAAGGCAACAAACGTATTGTGGAATGGAAGCCAATTTTGAAAATTACCATCGAACTCAGGTAGATTGATTTGAGGAAGTCGCACGGAAGCTTGCACATGAGAGGTGTTAATAGGAACTGTGTTTTGTGTTGCATGCTGTTGTGGTAATTTACTCGCCAACCCTGCCCTTACCTCAAAGTACTTGTCTTCGAATTCTGCCCTCAGCTGCTGGTGCTCCTTCATGTTCTCCTCGTTTTCCTCCATGCCCTCAATATCGTTCTGAAGTTCCTCGAGTTCAGTCCACTTCGCTTCAAGTTTCTCCAGACTTATCTTGACTTGTTGCTCGTTGAACTCCTCGGTGTTGTTCAGGAAGCTTTCCAAGCGGATTACAAAGTCAGTAACGTTGTCCCTGCTGCGTAACAGGGTCTTGAATTTCTTCGACATGTCGTGGACGAAGAAGGATATCCAGGAGCCGCTAAACTTGAATCGATGACTTCACGATGGAGAAATCCGAATATAGGCACGTTCTGAAAAGTCGACAAGAGCAGCACCTTCCAACCAAGAATACAATTTTTTGAACAGGAACTCACCTGGTGAGCCTGTCAATTAGGCCTTTAGTTTAATTATAACCGCTCCAATCTGCTTGACTCGTCGATCAATTCCGGTTTAGGACGATGACGTAGTCACACAGGGACAAGGAGAGAGTAGCAAAATCATTCACTCACTGATCATCTCTGTTGGGCATTTAAAGTGGGAAGTGAAAATAATGCTCCCTCATTTTCCTGTTCTTGCTAAAAGTTGTTATGTTCAGAACATACGAAACATTTTAAAGAAAACGTTGGATTTTCATTTTCCTTGTAACAAATAAATATGTGGGTGCTGTTACGTTACGATGTTGAAAAATTTCCGTTTATCTTCAAAAATGCCTTAACTTGCAAATTAAAACCACTTTCACCTTTTGGTATGTTCCATCGGTAATATCAACTCTTTTTTACGTACGCGTCATTGTGTACGATGTTTAATAAATCTCAAAACTGACCCAACTCACAATTGAGAAGCTCACGAAAATTTTACTGTCAAAACAAATATCCTTTTCGACGTGGTTACGTCTCGTTCGAAAAGTGAAACGAAAAATCTTAAATTTTTTAATTGCTCCAAAAAATTGCAAGGAACCAAAAGCTGGACCTTCGGCAAAATCAGTGCGAAACCGAACTTTTTGTCAGTGCCAACCTCAACCTGAGCTGGGTTTTAAAAGCAATCGAGCAAACTGACGTTTGTCAGAAAACAAGCAGATCCAGTCTTGATACCCGAGCCACGTTGACAATGAATAAGCATTCGTGACTGCATGTAGTACGTGTTAATGCAGATAACTATGATTCTCACAACAATAATTTATGGTTATGATACGGTTGTAGAACGCAGGATAAGACTTTTTCCTTGATACAGAACAGCTATCGCCTTATCCGTGATATTGGAAGAGGAATGGCCGTCATAACCGTATTTATGTTAAAAATGAGAAGACGGTCAATTTATAAGTCTGTTTATTTTTCCTCGGAGATATGATGATGCCACATGACATATGTTAGTGCTATTGCGAATGAGTGAGAAAAGCAAAATAACGATGTCTCACGGTTGTTGTGTCATACTGGTGAGAAGTTTTATGGAGAGAGTGTTCTCAGTTCCGGAGAACTTTGAGATTTGGCCGTAATTGCTTTTGTAAACAAACATGCCAATCGCTGATTTCTCGCGAATAAAAGAACTATCGCATGAACAAACTACCTGTTTGTGTTGTTAGTTTTTGAGATTGAGCTTTAATTCGCGAGAAATAGTCAAAGAATGGGTCTGTTAACAAAAGCAATTACGCCCTAAAGTTCTCCGGAGATATTTTGATTGTTAACCGTAGGAATCTCTTTTGTCAATCTAAAGGCTGACAGTACCGTGATGCAACTTAGCACTGGTTCTAAGGCAGTTGATAAAAGATCTCCAGGTAAATTAAGGAGAGTTCAGAATTCAATTATTTTCTTGTTCTGAAGAAAACTCCATGACGAATATTAAAAGATCTTCTAGTCCATTTTCATTTTGATTGTTGGTCATCAATCCATCGTATGTGTTGTCAATGTTTATGTATTGTCAATATTTATGTTGTCAATATTTATGTATTGATAATATTGTAATGTGGACCGTACACGATTGCTTTTATTGACAATAATCGTATTGTCAATACATTTTATATTGACGTCAATACATCGGTATTGACAATATTTCTGTATACACATCATCAATATTATTGTCAATACTTGTAAGTATTGACAATATTTCTTACCGTGTGGGGTTCGCTTAAGGAAAATTGACAATGTTTGTCAATATATCGACATGTGTAATGGGCGCTCAACACGCGTTTGTTTTCAGACGCTGAAGTTGTCGATTTTGATTTCGGCATTGGTCGAGAGTAGATTCGGTCGATGAGGAGCTGGTGCTCCGACTTACAGACTGTGTACTGATGAACTGAAGCCGTAGTGTTGCGCAAGTGATTGGTGATGGAAAGTGGACGCAGTCCTCTTTTTTCTGCTGAGTTGGAGCAGCTTGGGTGTTTCGTGGTTGAAAGGGGTTTACGCTGCTCTGTGAAGAAGGCAAGACGAGAGTGCTGTTTTTAGCACCGGTTGAAGAAATAGTGGTTTCGTATCTATGGGAGCTCTTCGAAATCATCGTGAGGACTGGGATTCCTTTGCATCAAATCGGGTGGGATCTTTCCTTTAGTTTTCTCTTAACTTTCATTCAATTATTATAAGGAACATTACATGCTGGGTACTGAAGCTGAAGCGAAATTGATGGGGGAGTGGAAATGCCAGCTCCCTGTCTTAAACATTTCATGAATAAAGGGTGGGCTCTTATTCCCACTCTTTGGAGCATCTTCCAGTTGGATGGCCTGTTTTTTATCGGTTGTATAATACTGTGGTTGTTATGAGATTCATATTTATCCCGTGGATGCACGTAGGCTATGCTGCCCACAAATTCACCCAAACCATTTTTGGCCCTCCACACAATGGCAGGTTGAGTAAAATTAGATATTAGAGGATATTAAACTTGTTCAAGTCGAACAGCCAGGATAGTCCACAGCCTACCAACAGTTGTCATGCTACAGTGAGTCGTAGTTCCATATCATCATCTTCTATGTAGTCTTATTCTGGGAATTAAAGCTCACGTATTCTACACACTCAGAAATTATTGTGTTTTCGGTAATTGTTTTTCCGAAATATCAACAGCTGAACGTTGAGATTTGGTAAACTTTGGATTTTCATTTTAAAGTATTCAAATGATCAATTTAGTCATTAAAGTAGAGTTTTTTTTTACTTTAGAACAAATAAATTGAACTGCCTCAATTTTACTGATTAGTTAGCTTCTTGAGATTTCGAGAAAAAGTCCGAAATCGAAAGTCATTTCTAAGTGTGTATGTCTATAAATTACATCAATTTGTTTTTTTTTTTGTATATGATCTTGATATCTGGTTCTGATTATTTTTCTAGTGGAATTTACACTCATATCCCATGCAGACTGTGAAACTTTATTATCATAGTTTTAGATGATTTTTAAGCATATCTAAATTAAAACCTACATGCATGTATATTTTTACTAAACCAGTCT